ACTCGAAAGCGGCGTTTGCAGACTAATCAGAACAACAGCGCTCGCCTAACTTTTATATGCCGCAGAATCGAGTATGCAATCAGCAGCGCAGTCGGCGCTAGCGTCGTTGTCGCCGTCGCCGTCGCCGTTGACGTCGATGCTGGCTGTGCTCTTGTTCGTTGGCTCGGCTGAAACTAAAACCAGTTCCTGCTCTTCGAGCACCTGCAATAGCCTTTCGCAGATCGTATACTAAATATAAATGTATGTGCTCGTATATAAACGAGGGTGTGCATATATGTATATAAACTTATGTGTATGTGTGTTTTGTTTGTTTGTTTTGATTTTCGTTGCAGCTGAAACGCCTTTTTGCGTTAGTTTCGCTTAATTGAGTTGAGTTCAGTGACGTAGGAAATGAAATGAGTGAATTCCTGGCAATGAAAGCGCTAATTTCGTACAGACAAGCGCGCGCACACATACATACACATATACGTATACTTGATATGACTAGCTTGGTTTGTTAGACAGCTTGGAAATCCCTTGGAACCAAAGCCGCGAAATATGACGCATAATATTTATGGCTGATAAAAGATACACAAACCACATAGGGTATCCACTTCAAAGGAACTGTTTATTGTTTCTAGCATTTGTGAAATTGTTGATCGCCAATTAAAAGCAAGTCAGATATTCTATAGGGATGTGCTTAGCTGGCAGATACCCTAGTGTATGGAAAGAACAATACTCAGACTCTTGGACCATTTCTCTAAATAGGATAGGATTGTTCTTGTCACCAATCAATTTTGATCTTGGAATGTTTGGAATATACGAAAATACATGTTTGTACATGTGTAACAACTAACAGCTTAATAAGTACTTCCCTGCTCATCATTCCTTAACTATATTCGATTGCTTCCAGGGTATTGACATACGAATACTGAATGAAATTTCAAACTCTGAACTGGAATTGTCGGCGCACGCCTTTCTGGGGGAATTTTCATTTACGCTGCTCGCAATTTGTAGTTCGTATCTGTAAGTAACAGCCGTTCAGATAATAGTAATAGTAGAATATCGTAGTGTTAACATGGATTAGGTGAATGTTTTAAACATATTCCTAAACCAGTTGACCTTATGTCCGGATCTCTTATTATTCGGTGCATTATTATATGTGAGAATAGTGTGAAAAATTAGCTGCCGCATCAAATGAGCTGACTTCAGATAGATCATAAATTATGGCATATACATATGTATGGCACATTATAAATCTATAAATAATACATGTATATGTATATATAATAAATACATCCATATTCAAGAAAATCCAATTGAAGACAAATGAACAACTATAAATATGTGTGCACATTTGCATACACTCTTGATTCACTAGTTATCCGAGATTGATTTGATTTGATGTACTTTAATTTGATGCGATTCGTTTCGGATATACGTATGTACATACAAAATCAGCTGATAGGGTCAGCTTATTCTAGATCAGCTATTCTTTATATTTATTCCTACGATGTATTCTGAGTCTACCATTCCATTGACAAATTTTCATCAAAAAAATCAGGCAGATCAAATTTCTGAAATTGCCTTAAAATATCTGCAGGTCGGTCCGTCTCGATCATATGATTTAATTAATTGAAATTATTATTGATCGATTGTTGCCGTTACCTAATCGCCATGTTACACAGCAAAGACCATTTGCATAATATTTCCTTACGTTATTCTAGTTAGCTTGTTTCTTGTAAGTTAATAAAAATAAAAAATAATCTAATACGTAGGAATTGTAAAGACAATTAAAATAAAAAAAAAAAAAAAAACATTAAGAATGTAATTGCTCGCAATTATAAAATTTCCAGTTCAGTCTATTGACCATAAAATTCTGTGAATTTTTTACACATTTGTGCTAACAAATATGCGCTTCCTTTAATAGTTTGGATGAATTGCATTCGAAAAGCAATCACGATTTATTGCCGTCTCTGTTTTACGAGAATAGGATATAGTTGTTAAATAGCACTCGAGCTCATAAATGGTTGGCCTTCGGTCTGCTTATCATTGGATATGTGTGGGTAAGTGTGAGTCCGGAGCTTCCTCTATAGCTGGCTCATTTCGATGGGCTTCAGTGATTTTAGACCATTGGCAACGTTTCCATTTTATGTAGTCTTATGAAATGTATTAAGCAATTTTTATATTAACTATATTGTAATTATTCCGAGCTCTTGCCCATTACAAATTGGTTGGAGCTAACTACTTCCTTTTTAATTTCCTCAACTAATTTTTTGTTTCATTGTATATTTTACCACCTAATTTGATTTTGATAATAGTATATATTTGATCCTGGAATTTTTAACTGGACTTTGCTAATTCTAGGCTGTTCCAATTTGAGAAGGTTTTGTGGGTTCGCTGTGCGAAAGGTTTCTTCTTCTAGTCAGTTGCCACTTAATCATCAATTTGTCAATCACTTCATTGTTGATACAACACAAAAATAACGTGTGTGTCCAGAATAGGGGTAATCGCCTCGAAAAGTCCATAAACCACATCTAATTCCAGTTCGATCATAATCTGTTTTATGTTTCGCTCATGACCAAGTCACGTTTCTCGACTCTCGGACTATGTCTGGAGTTCCCCAATGAAAGTGACGCATTTGTTTTGTTGCGATAGTTCCACGAATTTCAGCAATCTTCTTCATCTTTGTTATTATGTGATTTTGTTTTTAGCAGACAGTTTAGTGACGTATCGAATAATGTAGCAGAACAGCTCGTTTCGAATGTCCCTCCCAAGTGTTTCCCTGAGCAAAGTGAGTTCCAATTATAGCAACATCAACAACATCAACAGCAACAAAAACAGCCATAATGAAACATGACGATTTACAGCCAACAATCAAATACAGGTTAGCCACTGCTTTCAATACTCTTACAAAGAACATGCTGATTTCATTGTGATCTTTGGCACATCGCCTCAATTCAAATCAGAGTATCGCAAGTTCGTCAGTCTCAGTGATAACTGTTTTTTCAAGTTTTTATTTACACAAACATTTTGACGGTGTTAAATGCCAACCGGCCGAGCCAAGCTGGTTTTGTGTTTGGCTATTGTCTTTGTTGTTGCATAGCTGAGCGTGTTTAACCCAAACCAAATTCGAATTGTTTTGATTAGCTGCACAAATCTCGCATACGTCATGTTGAACAACAACATTGACAGTGACAATGACAGTTTCTTTTGGGATATCTAAATCTTAATACACATGAGAACTATCTATTGTACCTACAACAATATATATTTATATATATATATATATATATATATATATATATGGCCCCATGACCGTCAGCATTGGCTACGATTACTTGCAAGAATTAACAGTTATATATCATACCCTAAGATAAATGTACCCTGAACTCGAATAAAATGCTTTGCGGCAGGCGACAGAGGAATTGAATGTGTTAATAAAAGAAGAGTGGAATTAGCAAAGGTGCAAAGGTGGTAAATAGAGTTAGATAAAGACTAAACGAGGCTTGAATTTTCGTTTATTGATTAATAGTCTCTCCATTTACAGTGAGATAGTTCCTTTAAGGCGGTCGTTTAGGGTACCTGTTGGTCGTTCACTCCCGCCTCGAGCATGCTGAGTTGTCTCTTTTGGGCGGCTTGCGGAAGTGTTTTAGCTGACGACTTGCTGTTGCGCCATCGAAATGGTAGATTGATCGAATCGTTCGATCGACTTTAGCGACATGTAGGTACTTGTACATGTAGGTGCAATTAAATTATCATTAAATTCGCACTAGGGCCTTAGTCTGCTTGTAATAAATGTGGGGCGGGCAGAATCGCATAATTCAATTGCAATTTACTTTAGTCGAGCGTTAAGCAGGTGCACCAGCTGCTGTTGCTCAACTGCTTAATGGCTGCTCCCATACAACTTTCCATGCGATCTATGCAAAACTGTCACTAAATGTTAATGAAGTAATTAAAATGCCCCAATCCGAAGTCTATCTATATCTTATCTTATATATAGTTCATAACTTCACACAGAGTAATTCCTTGTGTATGGCGTGCTTATGTAGAACAGGTTTGATAACATTTGCAAATCGCCTTAGTAGAGCTCTAATAACAGTCGCTATCGTTTAATCACTTTCTCAAGTGCCACGCCCCACCCCGCCCCGCCCACTGTTTGTTGTCTCTTATATCTAATATCTGGTGACTAGAAATTACTTAATATAGCATTTGTGCTACTTTACCTCAATAATTTATAGTTTTACCGATTTGTTACGCCTTTGTATTGAGTTTATTTTGTACTTTTTACTTCTAAATGGATTTAAATTTGATTTATTGTGTTTTGCACGATATATACATGTCTGCCATAAATATATTTATATTTTTAATCAGAGAGCAAGTGACTAAGTTCTCGAATTTGAATATCCTGTTCTTAATGTCAAATGCATGCAGGCAATATATGTTTTACTTTAAGCTCGTCTGCAATGTCTGTATGTCATTTTATTTATCATTCATTTACTATGCAAATATAACATCTTGAATTATAGCAGCCTGTCAATTCAGTCGATGATTGATTGCCTGTCAGCAATCTCGTATAAAAGCATTCTATAGCGCTTTGCCAATCGTCACGTGAAACGCCCTGTATTCCACGCACATTTTGTTGAGTCTCTTTGCTTCTCGCCTGAACCTTTCCCTTCCAATTGAAAAGCATTCAATTATACTGCATGCCACGCTCAATTAGCCCAAAGTTTCCTTACACTCCATTCACAAAAACTTATACGGCGCTTTGCAGGCCAGAACGGAACAGAACATTTTGTAAGAAAATATCCGTGTGATCGAATTGTTCATCTGCCATTCAGATAAAGCCGAATATACTGACTAATTATAACCCCTAGTAAAGATACCGAATAGCAAAACAGATATACAAATTGTATTAAAAATATAGTTTTGTAGCTGCTTAGTAAATAGTCAAGAAGCAAAAGTGCCCTTGAAGATGTAGTTATAGGTTTGCCTGACACTGTTAGTCGAGCGGATGGCTGCTACTTGCTGCTTACTTCCTTCCACTGGACGATGGCGCGCTGTTCGTCTGGTGCATCTCGGAAAGGCCGACTGCCATCAGAGCTAACAAACTCGTTCACCTGGTAATTGAGCAACGTCTTATACTGATTTACAGTGGCCAGCTGCTGGGTCAGTGGGCTGGTGTTGGTAGTGAAGATGCCGGCGAAATTTTTATTGCGCGCCACGTTTAGCACCTCGTTCTCCATGAAGTGTATGCAAGCAACATTCTCGCGCGGGTTCAGATGTTCGGCGGTGCCCATCATGCCCGAGCGTAGGATTTGATTCACACCCTTGGGCAAATAGTTGTCTCTTAAAATACATTACAATAGGTTATTTCGGAGTTTCGATTAACAGTAGGTATTTTATGGTACCGTATGGGTCCTTCGCAGAATTCTATAAGCTCGAAGACTGTTACCAGATCGGACTTGATTTCCACCACGGGCCCGGCGCGAGCATCGTAATTGAGAGCGGTACCGATGATGCGCTCCGTATTTCGATCGTATACTACAAAGCTCAATTCACGTTCAACCAGGACGCTCCACATTTCCTGCAAAGTATTAATGAATAAGCCATTGAAGCTTTCGTGTATTACTCTTAACTTGCATCGAGTAGATCACTGTAATCTGTGGGTAAAGCGCCAGGCTTAAGCCATTGCTCCAGATCGCCTTTGTTGTGGAAACTGGATACGATTATGCTGCCGAGGAAAATATTAGCATTGACTCTCACACTCAATTCACTCAACCAACCACTCACTCACTCACAGGCTGATGATGCTCTTCCTGCAGCAGCACCGCCTCCATTTTAAGATGTGGGCATGCATTGAGCGTCTCCTCTTCCAGCTGTACTGCACCATGGCTGCTAGCCATCTTTTCGATAATCTCTCCCAGATTTTTTGCTGCTATAAAATCTGAGATGCCGATTTTGTAGCCTTTCTCCCTCAGTAAAGTGACCGTGAATATAGAATTGAGTGAATTGCCGCCCAGCTCGTAGAAGTTGCTATGGGCTGAGAGAGTTGCCCGTCTAGAACGTCCAATGACAATGCTCACGGTTTCAAAGAGGTCACGTGCCGTCAATTTCAGCTCCTCGGGCACCTGACTGTAGTCAAAGTCCAGAGCACTAGCCGATCCTCCCTGATTGTTATTAGCGGTCTCATAGATTTTTAGCAAGGCCTGGCGGTCCACCTTGCCATTGACCAAGAGCGGCACATGCTCCAATATGATCACCTGTGGTGTCATAT